TTGAAAGCATTCTTACTTTACAGTATTTTTTCACACCTGCCTAAAACTTTTGCACAGTACTATGTGTGTGTGTCTGTGTATCCCATTTGTCCATCACCACAAATCTCTCCCCAGTTATTCCCTGCTGGGTGTCCTCTACCCTTCAAGATCACGTGCAACTGATCCCCACTGCTCTCTCCAGTATCTCAGTATCTGTCAGCATCTTTTCTTTTTTCTTTTCTTTTCTTTTCTTTTTTTTCTTTTCTTTTCTTTGGGTTTTAGCTGGCTATTTGGAAACTCTTGCATTTCAAGTGCACCATCCTCATCCATTCCTCCCAAGCATTCTTAATCTCCACCTAGAATTAGAGGCTTTCTGGGCTAGGAAAGGAAAGGCAATGAGGAACTTTTCCACAGCTGAGGGTAATGGTAAAAATCTCTCTCTGTTTTGAAATGTTAGGCATTTGGCTAAAAACAAATGAATTTCATTATTGACAAGTGGGGAGAAACAGGAAACATTAGCAGGCATGAAGAGAATGCCATAATGCCACCTTTGAGACCACTGAAATCAATCCTGTTAACAACCAACTCCAATGTTTTCCACCAAATTTAGTGATGGGCATCCTTCATTTTTATTCAGGTGAAGTTGTGTACCACCAGCATTAACAGAGCACTTTCTACTTTCATGGATAATTTCCCATAGTCTAAAGCACTGGATTTCAACCTCTGTGCTGCAGCACATTTGTGTGTCATGAAAGGTCCACAGGTGTGCTGCATCAATGAGCCACAAGTAAATGATGGGAAGTGCCCCGCCTCCATAACATTACCAAGGGTGGACTGCCTCCATTTCTCCTCCCAAGTCCCAGCAACCTGTGATGTCACAGGACTTCTGGTTTCATGACTCAGAAACCCTACCAATGAGATATATGCCATGAAATAAAAAAGGTTGAAAACCACTGGACTAATGTATATGGTTAGTTTCTTCATGTTTAAAAATATATATTTCAATAATGATGACAAGTTATTATATTTAAACACATGGGCACTTCAAATCAGTAGCCATTCAGAGAATGGCTCCAACCTTTACAACACTGAAAAATATGTTCACTCTGCATTAAAAAAAAATCGCACAAAATTTAAAATAATCAGCCAAGTGATTTCTTCATTTTCATTCTCTTGCAATTCTAAATATATTTAGTTTACGGTAAGATCACTTAGATGACTTGATATGACTTAAACTTTTCCACTCTTGAGTGCCCAAATGTACTCAGGAAACAAGTTATTTATGAAAGGTTTGAAATCATTAGACATCTCCTTTAGGAGTTATGTAAAAATACAAAATAAATCTTTTAATGTATAATCCATTTTCCAGATAAACTAGGGTGAATGCATTTTAGACAACCTGCAGTAAGGTAGAAGTCAAGAACCCAAACCTACTTCAGGTTCATTAGGCTTGCTAAATTAATTTCTTATTTAACTAGTTGATCCATTTTTTTAGGTACACAACTAGTTGATCCATTTTTTTTAGGTACACAAATACCACATTCCCTGAATGCATACTTCCCAGAACTAAAGATAAATGCCACTTGAATTTTATTGTTGTAGTATCTTATGCTTATCTATTTAATCACTCACAGCATACCTATCTTCCACACTGTGTTATGCCTTTGCTCCTGTTACTACTACATACTTCTACCATCTGTAACTGTATGTCACACCAAGTTAAAATAATTCTCCAGAAAAAAGGGATTGACTAGCTTTCCATAGGTGTATAAAGTCAAAGGGCTGAGCGCTATTTCAGATTTGAAGGGAAAAAATGCTTCAGAGCATGTGTAGGAGCACATGTACCACCTGTTGGCAAATCCTTAGGGGAGAAAATATTTTCTCAGGATTGTAGTGCAGATGTGAAATGCAGCTGCATGATTCCAAGAAAAGATGCAGCTACTTTGAGGAATGATAGCAAGACTCTCCTTGAACACCCCTGTGAACATTTTTCCCCCTTCAAATCCAAAGAACCGTACAGCCCTATAAGGTAACAAAGACTTCTTGAAGCAAACAGGTAGATCCAACAGGACTCTGACCTCATCCAGGAAGCCAGATTCTGCCTTCAAGTTTGTCTTTTGGAGGAGAAGCAAGCCAGCAGTCTTGGTTCAGATTACTTTAGCCACTTGCAACAAGAGCTAAGCCAGAATTTGCAGCAATTAATCTATATTATGGGATTTCAGCCGTTGTTTTCAGATTTCTATGAAGTACTATCTCCCTTTTCTTAACCTTGTTCTCTTCCTCCCTCATATAGGAGGGAGAAACAAAAAGAAGTGAAAAAGAAAGAAGAGCCTATTCCATCGAAAGCATTGGAGCAGAGCTGAGTGATGCTTAAATGAAGAGCAACAAAAATGAAACCGCTATGAATGTTATGATGATGATGATGGTGGTGATGATGATGATGATGAACTGCCAGAATCTCTTCAAGCCTATGAGCTAATCTATATCACCCATCCTTTTGCTATGGTTCTGCCTTAGTTGAAATCAAATATTCAGAACAGTTTGCACAAACAGAAAAAAGTCACAAAATAATGATCCCATACCAAAATAAGAAAGCTTCTGAATCAGGTATCATAAGTAACTTGAGAAGCCTGCATTCTAGTCATGAGATGTACATGTACTAATATTCATCTCAAAAAGAGAGAAACAGACAGACATAGGCTTTTAGTTATTTGAGATATACCATATCAATACTGCTTTGCTTTTTGCTGAAATAGATTACTATGGCTAATAACTGAAGTGTATCATTACTTTTTTTCCTTCAACAATTTATAAAGTCATTCCCTTCTTCCAAAATACAGAAAAGATTTACTAATTAACAGATCAGCAATGATTACAAATGATGTAATTAATAGCTGGTCTTTTAGGTAATCAGTATTTCTTTGAAGCAGAAGTGGAATTCAAGCACTCAGGTATTCAATGGCTAAACTGGCAGCTTAAACGGCAGAAGCAGAGGCCAGCAAATATTATTCTTTCAAGAAAGCTAAGCTTTTAATAACCAGGATCAGAAAAAGAAGTAGAACCATGAAAACAAGACAGCTTGAAACACTCCTAATCTCACGCCTGTCTGAACCTAGGAACAGAAAAGAGATCCAGCAATGCCACCAACACTGCTTCAACTGAATACAATTTTGCTTATCCATGGGGTGGTCTAGTTCCCGAGACAGAATTCCATATACTATAATTGGATAAAATTCCTCACTAGTTGATATTACATCCATTTATTTTACATTCTTCACAATGGATACAGGAGCAGTTGCTAATGGTGACAGCAAAAAGTGTGCTCAGTCCTTTTCATGATGCAACCGTAGTAGTCAGTGGGGCAAACTTCCCTGAGCGCTTAGCACAATAGAAATAAAGAGACATACAGTATATACAGTTTAAAGCAGTTTGAAAAACTAAATGTTAGTCAGGCTCTCTATATGGAAAACTATTCTTCAGCTTAACTCATTCTTCCATGTATCAGACACACTACTTATCCATACCAGTGCACACCATGTGGTCACAGCTGTTCATATCAGTGTTTTCAAGAGAGTGATAGATAATAGCAAATTTCCAGTTTGTCCTGATCTTGTCATAATACTGTTCAAATATTTTCAAAGTTAATTATCTTCCTCCCAGCATCCAAATGTTCCATTTGAACAAAGATCTGTACTGATGGTGAAGAAATCAAATTTAAGGTTCTAATTTCCTTTTATTTTGAATAGTTGGAGGAAAGCAACCTCAAACACACACACTCATACAGACACACAGACACACAGACACACAAATCTGTCAACATCTGCAAATGAGTTACAGGAGTACATTAATTTGTACATCCAACATGGTCCCCTGAAATTATTCCTGCCATAATAGCAAAGTCAGAAATGCAATTAATGCACAAATAAAAGGTCTTGGGTGTGTCAACATACAGATTTCTTTTCTAGTTTATCATTTTTTTTCCTAGAAAACACATGCCTTTAGTACATAATATTCATAATGTTCATCAAAAAACAGCTTGGGGTGGGGAGAGTACGTGAAATAGTAAAAGCAACGGAAAGGAAGATAGCAGTTGTTTACAACATAGAAACTAAGCAATGAGCCAAAGGGGATATATACTTACAAATATATATCAAATTAATTTACAACCTTCACACAACTTCTCTCTTCAGATGATTAGGAGAGTTTTCAGCAAGATCATGACAGAGAGAAGTTTCTGTTTGTTTGTTTTAATCTGCCTTTATGCCTTCTGCCAACAGTTATTATTTTTAAAACGAAAAACAGCACACTAGGCATTTAACCAATTGCCTAAATTGCTCACTATGAAAAGGGCAATCATTCCTTTCCTGTATATTTCATACATCTGAGCTGAATCCAAAGTAAGTATGTAGATACTGTAAGGGATATATAAATGGGGTGAGATACTGAAATACAGAGGAATATATTAGATGCATTGGTACTACTTCCCCATCTGAAATATCTGTCCATGTTGCCACCCTTGAATGTTTCTTTGTTTATATAATCATAGTTAAAAACACCATATGGCTTTTCATTAATGAGGATGACAAGCTCTTTTAATGTTTTTGGAGTGGGAAGCAACAAAGGGCCTGCTCTGAGAACCTGAATCCCAATTGTTTGATCTGCCCCAGCTGTCTTCATTCTGAGACCTCCATGAATCTGTTGGCTGATTGTGCTCTACAAAACAATCAAGCAATATGATGAAAAAACATATATACAAAATAGTAATGTCTGCCAACTGACATAACTCTAAAGTAACATGTGGCACATAATACCAATTTTCCTACATCTCTGGGGCAGATTTCTCATCCAGATGCATTTATTAATGAATTCTTTTAACAGAATGTCAAAGAATAAAGAGGAAGAACTTCATTAAACAAATTTGGAAGAACAGGACTTCTTCCATCCTCTTTTTTAGATTTGTGTGGGATGTTCTTAACTTGACATAAGCATTTCCAGCCAGCCAGTCCAGATACATATATAGCAGCACATAGGAAGATTTTAGACAATTTTAAAGAACATAGTGGTATCCAAAGAGTAGCATGTTCATATGAAATAATTCTGCCTGTCTGCAGAGAGCCATTGATTTTCCTTTCTAGCTGCATCTAATGCAGTTCCCAGTTTGGAAGGACAATTACGGTACTGGCTTGAGTACACTGGAAAAGAAAATTTCTGGTCTACATTTCAGCCACTATATAGCAATACTGCAAAACCCTCACTGCAATTCTATCAACAAAAACTAGATTTTATACAACATACAGTAATTGGGGTTGCCCGTTGGTTTAAGACATAGAAAATAAGGCATTCAACAGCTCTCCCCAATAACTCCTAATCTAAACCTAGATTTAGAAAACTTGTAAAATTCTATGGTTATCCTTTTATACATTAACACATTTATGCAAATGCATGAACAGTTTGCCTTTAAAGTCTCTATCAAATTACTGCCAGTTTTGAAACTGTCTTATTGCTGTTCCCAATAAACTTCCATCTCAGAAGTTATGCATATCTTCCTATTTTGGATAAACACATTATTTGCTACTTGTCAATCAAAGTAAGGATTATAAGAATCATATTATGTATAGATCCAATGAAGAGAAATAAGAATTCATATTCCTCATTTATATCTCACACATGTCATTGATTTCTCAACTATATCCAACATTTGATAAATTCTGATAAATAGGTTTTAAAATCCAGCCAATATTTATTTATTTATATTTATTTATTTATTAAACTTGTCCCCGCCCGTCTCCCCCCAATGGGGGACTCTGGCCAGCTCACAACATATTAAAACAATAAATAAACTATATTTTA